TGAAGTTATGAATGGTGTGGAAAGAAGGAATGCAGAGAAATTCATCCTCTTTAAAAACACTTGGAGTCTTCCAAGGAACTGGCTGGCAGCTGATACTGTGAAGAGTCAGCATTTGTAGAAGCACTGGGGTGTGTCCACGCTTCATACCCCACATTTAGCCGACCTAACATAATTGATATGTAGCACAACTGACCTTACAGTGGTGGATAAACAGACATTGGCCCCGGTCACACGGGCCGGAAAACACAGGGGGGAGGCGTGGCTATCTGTGGCACCACAATTAGCCGCGCGATAATGCGATCAGATGCGTCGGTGGCAACCCACGGTTCCGGCCCTCGGTGTGTGCGCGGCAACGAAGGCAGCCAGAGGGAAAAGCCGTGCCAGCGCGATCACACCAAGGGAGTCCGGAGGCAGCTCGTGGCAAACTGTTTGCCACTACCTTCGAGGAGGTATTTTTTTATCGTGCATTTTCGGCGGCATGCCACAGGTGTGCTCCACTTGCCAGATGTTGTGGTGTAATCACGCCCGGAAAATCCACCATCCAATCGTGGCTCTCCCATGGCAAATTCGCCGTGTGAACGGGGCTGTGACCCGCCCTGAGCCTATTGGGGAGGGTGGGGTATAAATGCGACAAATAAATAAATAAATACATGGGGCAGAAATTTTTCCACTAAGAAGTAGCGGCATTGGGAAATTTCCCACCTCACGTTACTGGATATAAAGCGACTGCATGTGTGGACTATGGTTATGGGTTCAGAAAGGAAAGGCAGGTTCTGTGCTTTGCTAGGGGGAAGTTCTGATGCTCACCCTCTTCCTCAGGTCCAGGCATGGGTGCCCCATTGGTGACGGTGGCTGTGGTAGCCCGTACGGTGGCTCAGCTGTGGGGGAAGCCTCTACTGGGGGTGAACCACTGCGTGGGGCACATTGAGATGGGGCGGTTGGTGACGGGTGCCCAGAATCCGACAGTGTTGTACGTTAGCGGCGGGAACACTCAGGTAGGCATGAAGATGGGACCTCTCCATCACACTGGCTTTCTTGAAGGACCTGGGGGGCATAATGGAGAGATTCAGGTTTTCTGCCATGAAGCCTGCTGACTTTGGGCCAGTCGCACGAACTCCGGGTCTCTCTCATCCTGTCCTACCTCACAGGGGTCTTCTGAAGATCTAATGGGGGAGGGGAGGACTCTGCATATCGGCCTGAGCTGAGATTTCCCCCCCACATATAACAGTGTCCCTGTTCATTTCCCTACCCTGGGTATTTTTTCCGAAAACAAAATATGTCTTGCTAAGATCTGCTTTCAAGGTTCTTGTTTCTAACAGGTACCCCTTTGTTTAATCCTCTCTCTGAGCTGTTCAGAGTGCTGCGTGTGGCGGCCCTTTGTGTTTTGAACCCTAAACAGAACAGTTTTTAGAGAGCTCTCACATCCCAGTCTGGCCATGTGGTCTCCTCAGATTCCGTCTCTGCCCTTGCGTTGGGCTTTTTCAGAAGGTGCCAGTGGAGACTCACTATGGCCATCTTCAGAAAAAAAAAATCTAGCAGAAAAGGAGAAGGAACCCCCGCCCTGTGGAGGAAACTGGGGGGTGAAGGGGGTCCTCTCCCCTCAGGCTGGGTTTAAGCATGAAGTACCAGCAGTGTCTTTAAAAGCCCAGTGAGTAGAGAGAGAGAGAAACCCTTCGTTTTTCAGACATCTCTCTGATTTGTACACATTTTGGGGGAGATGGGTGTTAATCTCTGCTTCTCACGTTTCCTTCTCCTGCCCTTTGCAGTTGGTGGAAGGCTGTGTCTCATGAGGGGATATTTGGGCCAGGCACTCAATGACATGAAAAGGGCATTTGCCATACACAAGGGGATTATGAAACACTGGTTCCCACAATCCCACATTCATACAGAAAGGCTATCCTGCCACTAGAGCCAACAGTGGGGTTGCTAGGCAACCTGGGGGTCTTTGGGCCTGGCTACAATTATGTATGCTGAAATGATGGCAGCAACAGCCTCTGATTGGGTGATTTGTGTGGAACCATGCAATGGACACCATTTTGTGTGACAGAAGAGGCAGACATTTCCAATGGGAGATTTCTGGGGCCCTTTCCTGGAGCTCTGCGGCACATAAGGAATTGCATTCTCCTCCCTGTGTCTTTCCCCCTAGGTCATTGCATATTCAGAGCATCGCTACCGTATATTTGGAGAGACCATAGACATCGCTGTCGGCAACTGTCTGGACCGCTTTGCCCGCGTGCTGAAGGTGAGCCTCTGAGAAGAGACGCACAATGAAATCGTAAGCAGAGCGGCCTGGGTTCAAAATCCCACCCAGTCACCAAACTGATCTTGGGCCAGTCAGTCTTTCTCGGCCTAGCCTACCTCACAGGGCTGTTGTGAAGGCAAAATGGGGGAGGGGAGCCATGTACGCAGCCCCGAATTTTTCGTTGGAAGGGTTGGATGGAAATGTGTAGACAGATGAAATGTTCAGACTTGTCCCATGAGAGCAACCTTGCTATATGAGAGAAAGGTAAAGGAAGATTATTGGCAGTTTATTGACTGACTTTAATTTCTAGCCCACTGTTCTTCTGCCAGCGTGGCGTATGTAGAGCCTTAAGAGGTCTTCCATTAAGACTCTGGCCAGACCCGGCTTCTGTGAGGTTGCCAAACCATCTACTGTTTCTCCTCTTAGTGGCTGATTTCCCCTGTGAGTTGGGAGGGAGAAGAGCAGAGAAAATTATCCATTAAGGATGGGAAGTAGATAAATACTTGGGGAATCCAGCCCAGAGGGAGGATTTCTCACGGAGAAGAAGACAACGATGGCAAGGGAAGCCAATAGCAGCTTCAGAGGCCTTCGGGAATTCTGCTAAGAATGTTGCCTCTCTTGTCTTAGATCTCGAATGACCCCAGCCCAGGCTACAACATCGAACAGATGGCCAAGAAGTGAGTAAAGAGGAAAAGTCAGAAGTTGGGGGGGGGGGGGTCCCCTCTCCCCAAATCCTAGAACTTTGGGGATGCCCAATGAAGTTGACGGGCAGCTGATTCAAAATGGACACCCCGCACGTCATTAACTCATTGCCACAAGGTGGAGTGATGGCCACTAATTTTGATGGCTTTAAAAGAGGAGCAGATAAATCCACAGAGGGTGGGTCCATCAGTATTAGCCGTGGAGGCTAAAGGGAGCCAGCCTGTTCAGAGGCAACATGTACCAGCTCCTGAGCGATAACGTAGTGGGTGCTTTCAGTCTTCATGGCCTATTTGTGGGCCTAGACGACCTAAGAAGGTATAAACATGCAAGTACTATAATGTATATGCAAATGTAATCCACTTTATATTAAAGCTTAATACTCAGAATGTACAAAATTACAATATTAGGGCATAATAGCCAGAGGTATACAAAATTACAATACAAAAGCTCATTAATCAGAACATAACAATGTAGCAGTAGTTGCCCTGTTTGGGGGCCAAATGTTGTGTATTGTGGAAAGGTGGTAGGGCAGTAACGACCGCTGAAGTTGGGAGGGTAGCCAAGGATGAGGAAAGAGGTGATGTTTGCGGTGAAGCTGTCTTGAGAAGAAGGCTCTGTGTTTAAGTACACCCTGAAGGGAAGACTACATTTCTGACAAGTCCCCTTTTGCCCTCAAAAATGCTCCCATAAACTCAACTTGATCAATATAGTTGATGCCGTAATGCCTGGAACGTTGTTGTTGTTGTTCCTTTTCATTCATTAAAAAAGGAAGAAAGGAAAACCTTGAGACCAGATTCTGTAGGAAACCCCCCAGCTCTGGGAGAGGAGAGGGGGGTTTAATGCCGGCTCCTCCCTTCACAGGGGTCAGAAGCTGGTGGAACTTCCGTATACGGTGAAAGGCATGGACGTCTCTTTCTCTGGCATCCTGTCCCACATAGAGGTAAGGCGAAATCCTCTCCTCTCCTGCATGACGGGAAGAAATTCCCAGCGTCTGTTTTTCCAGTCACTCTCCCAGGCAAAGGAAGGCCTTGCCAGAAAAAGGGTAGCTGCCTTATTCCTCCCTCTCTTTTCCTTTGGTACAGGACGTGGCCCACAGGATGCTGGCTGCAGGGGAGTGCACGGCGGAGGACCTCTGCTTCTCCCTACAGGTGAATAGCCAAGGTCTGGGATGGGACTGGCGGTCTTGCAGTAGGGCCCAAATGCCGTGCAGCTCAGTGCTGAAAAGCAGCGTCCCTTCTTCATCTGAAAGTGTGGATGTTTTGGCAGTCTGGGGCAGAGACCGATCAACAGTGCAGCTTCGAGATAAACCAAGAGAAGGAGTGTGGCGTAGTGGTTAGAACCGGGGGGGCACCTTTGTGAATTCTGACACAGTGCGGTGGACACAAGCACAAAAGGTCGGGGAGTGAGGCTATGCATAAATATCTTCAGCATTTCAGGCCAGAGCGCTGGGTAATAAGATGCTTTTTAAAATCAACATTTTGTGTTGAAATGTTTCCTTGCATAGACCTTCAGTCATGCAATGGCTGCCCTGACCTGGATAGCTCAGGTTAGCCGGATCCCATCAGATTTCAGAAGCTAAGCAGGGTCGGCCTCGTCTAGTATGTGGAAGGGCGACTTCCAAGGAATACCAGGGGCGTTACGCAGAGGCAGGCAATGGCAAACCCCCTCTGAAACATCTGTTGCCTTAAAAACAGGTCTAGCTCGCTACCTGGTGGTGCATAACGCTAAAGAAGAAGAAGAAGAAGAGATTGGATTTATACCCCGCCCTTCACTTGGGAGTCTCAGAGCGGCTTACAAACTCCTTTCCCTTCCCCTCCCCACAACAGACACCCTGGGAGGTGGGTGGGGCTGAGAGAGCTCTGACACAAACTGCTCTTTCAGGAACAGCTGTGCCACAGCTTGTGACTGACCCAAGGTCACATCAGCAGCTGCATGCGGAGGAGTGGGGATTCAAACCCGGTTCTCCCAGATTAGAGTCCGCACACTTAACCACTACACCAAACTGACAAGCAGCTAGAACTTCTGGCTTGTCAGACAGTCTTAGGATTTCCTGGCTATGCTACACACAATGCCATATGATAATGATTAATTCATGCGATGCTATGGTGGCAGCTGCTGCCGGGGGGGGGGGATGTGCCAGTCAGAAGCTCTGCAGGGCAAAAGCCCATCTGACTCCACCCCCATTCTAAAAACACTTGGTGGGTACCAAGAAACATTTCTGTCACTTTTTAAACCCTTCTCTTCCTCCACAGAGCCTGGGGCTCCCCATGGTTCTCCATCTTATCTTCACAACAACCCTGTGGTGTAGATTTGTCTGAAGTAGTACGATAGGCCCAGGGTTGTCCCGTGAGCTTCTGGGGCCAGGTGGGGATTCGAACCCACATTTCTCCAGCTCCCACACTCTAACCACGGCATCACTCTGCCACCCGTCAGCTCCAGTATAAAAGACTGAAGAAGCTGACAGGCTTCTGTAGTAGTGAGGCAATCTCGAAAGGAATTTCGTTCCTTTCCTTCCCCCTGAAATGGCAACAGAATGAAAGAGGGGCAGAACGATGCAGGAAGGGTACAGGGCCCAGAGGCCCAGCAGGGTAGTCATGGCAACCGGGGCCTGTCCACCCATCCATGTACTTCAGGGCCTGGGCGTGATCTGTGGTGATGATGAGTCAGACGCTCACGGGTAAAAAGGTAAAGGTTCCCTTGCTCGAAAGCCAGTCGAATCCGACTCTAGGGTTGCGGTGCTCATCTCCGTTTCAAAGCCGAAGAGCCAGCGCTGTCCGAAGACGTTTCCGTGGTCATGTGGCCAGCATGACTAAACGCCAAGGCGCACGGAACGCTGTTTATTATTTATTTATTTATTTATTTTCAGTTTATACCCCGCCCTCCCCGCAATGCAGGCTCAGGGCGGCTCACATAAGGGCATACGCCAATATAAAAACATATTTAAAACCATTTAAAATCCATATAATACAAAACATTCTTAATAAGTTATTAACTAACTAACTAAAGTGCTCTCGATGTTCACAGATGGCGTACTTCACACTGTTCAGCAGTTCTGCTACCTTCCCACCGAAGCAGTACCTTTTTATCTACATGCAATTTATTCCTTTCGAACTGCTAGGTTGGCAGGAGCGGGAACTAGAGACGGGAGCTCACTCCGTCATGCGGCAACCCGGGTCTCGAACTGCTGAACTACTGACCTTCCACAGCCTGCAGTTCAGCGTCTTAACCACTTGAGCCACCTCAAGTCATTTGCCTGCTTTCTCTCCCTCCCTCCCCCCCTTGCAGGAGACAGTGTTTGCGATGCTGGTGGAAATCACAGAGCGGGCCATGGCGCACACTGGCTCCCGTGAGGCACTGATCGTGGGCGGAGTCGGCTGTAGGTAGAACCAGGCAGCCCTTTGCCTCTCATAGTGCACATCTTTTTCTTGCTGGGGCGTTGTCTGTGGCTTTTGCGTATTGCCCTTGAGCGTTTGTGACCACTGGGTAGGCACTCACTCTATCCGTCCTTTAGGTAATGAGCGGCTGCAGGAGATGATGGGCATCATGTGCCGGGAAAGAGGAGCAAAACTCTTTGCTACAGATGAGAGGTAAGATCCTCCCCCACCCCGGGTTTGGGCTTTCATGAGCCAATGAGGACTGCATTTGAAGATGGTTAATGCAGGATACAGCATGGGGAAATGGTGTCACATGGTTGTGAAGGGGTCTTTCAATCCCTGGCTGCCATCTTTATCACAAAGCAAAATGCAGCAGTGCAGGCACACATAGTGGAATCTTCTGTGCCCCAAAGAGGCTGCCTGTTGCCTCTCTGCAGCAGTTGCCGATCTGGTTGTTTTTCCTGCCTAGAGAAGGAAATGCCAGAGCACTGGTTTGTGGATAAATTCAGGGGTGGGTTCCCCTTGAAGACAGGTAGTTCTTACTCCTAAAACACCCAAGAGCAGTGGCCTGACTTTTCACCAGGGCCAACCAGATGCCTCACAAGCAGGGCACGGAGGCCCAGCCTCCTCCCCCTTTGCTGCCTCTCAGTATGAGCATTCAGAGGTATACTGTTCCTGAACGTGGAGGTTCCATTTAGTCATCATTAATAGCCATTGATGGACCCATCCTCCACGACTGCTTGAAAACTAAATTTTGGGGCGGTATAAAAACAGGAGGGTTGTCTTAATTCAAGGGGGGAGAAAGTGTTGATTATAAATTTGGTGTTTCATCATGTTAAAAAAAAAATGTGCCGTAGCCGCCCAAGTCCCTTCTCAAAGACAGAAGGGAGAATTTTTTAAGAGTTCCGACTCCATTCACACTGCCTTTTTATATGCAGGTTCTGTATTGATAATGGAGCCATGATCGCACAAGCCGGCTGGGAGATGTTCCAGTCAGGGCAAATTACACCGCTTGAAGATTCATGGATTACACAGAGGTGATTTATGACCCTTGTTTTTTTGGAGTAAATGTGAGTGGGAAGCAATGCTCCCTCTAAGCTGTGGAGTCTCGTGAGCAAAAATTCTACTTTTGTGAGCTACTGGCATTAAAGTTGTGAGTGAGCGATTGGGCTACTGCATAAATTAGTTGGCTCTGGAGCCCTCCTTCCTGAGCTAAGGCAAAAATCTGTGAGCTGGAGGCTAAAAAACTGTGAGTTTACTTACTCAGGTTAGAGGGAACACTGGTGGGGAGGGTGAGCATTTCAGGAGCTTTTGTATTTGATGCTGTTGGGCTGAGACAGAGAGACAAAGAATGGACCTCTGACTATAAAATGCAAACTGCGGGTTTGTGGAGCCTCAATTAGTCTCAGGCAGTGTTCCCTCTAAGCTGAGTTACTCTGAGCTAGCTCACAGGTTTTTTAGCCTCCAGCTCACACATTTTTGTCTCAGCTCAGGAAGGAGGGCTCCAGAGCAAACTTAATTGATGCAGTAGCCAGATCGCTTACTCGCAACTTTAATGCCAGTAGCTCACAAAGTAGAATTTTTGCTCACAAGACTCCACGGCTTGGAGGGAGCATTGGTCCTGGGGCTGTGCAGGCAAGGGAGAGAGGGGGCTTAACTATTCAGACTCCTCTTGGTTTTGCTATTTGAAACCAGCCCCCCCCTTCCACTTCCCACTATTAACATTTTATAGGAGAAAAGCTTTGTTTTTAAAGGATGCGTATGAATTCCTTTAAAAGGCCAACAGCAGAGTGGGAAAGCTGGTTTTTTTTTTTAAATAGCAAACCCAAGTAGAGACTGATGGGTCAAAACCCCTTTCTTACACAGCCCCGAGGTTAAATTGAGGCCGTACAAGCTTGCCTTGCATTTGAGTAATATCATTGTGTCTAGTTTGTAAGAGCAGATGGGAGTTTGGACCTCGGGGTGTGTGTGTGGGGGGGTCATATCCTAAACTTGTAATACTGTAGCCTGAGCTTGTAAACGTATTTTGTACTTCTTGGTCAAGAAAACCTTTACAGGGGCAGCAGCCCCGAAAAGTCCCTACAAACTGCGGAAAAGAGAGAAGAAGAAGTAAAGGCCGAAGGACTCTGAATTGTGCCTTTGAGAACTTTGGTTCCAGGGGATGATGGGGGGGCACTGTTACTGGGCAATTAAATGTAAATGGGGAGGGTTAAAAGTTCTAAAAGATTGACACAGTTCATAAGAAATACAAAGATGATAAGTTTGGATGCTAAAAAAAAAGCTAGTTAGAGGATCTCCTCTCTTGGGTTTTTAGTCAGTAGTGGGTTCTTTACTTTCTCCCTTATATGTAGTTTTCCCCTCCCCCTTTTCTGTTGTAGTTTTTTGTAGTGTTAAAAAAAAATCAATAAAAAACATTCCCTCGGGGGCTTTTAAAAAAGAAAAAAAAGAAAACCTTTACAGGACAGGCTTTCCCTTGATGGAAGCATTTAGCATAACACAGGGGGCGACTAGTAAGGGGAGGTCCCGGGTGTGTGGGGGAGTGAGGGACTGTGGAGGAATTGTGAGGGTGACCAGAGGCAAGCCACTGCCGAGCCAGACCGTCTCTGCTCCTCCCTTGCAGGTATCGTACCGATGAAGTGGAGGTGGCGTGGCGGGATTGACCCCTTCCCTTCTGCCCGGGAGCCACCCCCGTCTCAGCTGGAAGGGGGCAGCAGTGCGAACATTTGAGCGAATGATTGGAACCCCGGTGGTTATTCGCTGGGGCACAAATCCCACCTGGAATAAATGGTTTGGTTTTTTGAGCCTTGTCGGATTGTTCCTACCCTGAGATAAGAAGAGATGTGGTGTGCACGTAAAGACAAATCTTGGGTGGGATCGGTCGTCTCTGGTTTTCCGAAGGTGAACGGGTGGCGAAGAAGAAGCCTGCGCAGTTCCTCTGTGCCACTCTGCCTCTCTTCCTGGCTTTGCAAAATGGGAATAGCACACAGGCTCTCTTCGCCTGATTCAAGGATTTCTTTGCCGTGCTCCTCTCCCTGGGATTGCAGGACGTCTTCCCTTCTTTGCTCTGGTCCTTAAGGACAGAACTACTCGAGGACTATACTCTACTGGGCCTGGCCATTTATTTTGCTTCTGCAGAAAAGTTTCACCCAAGCTCAGAACATGAGAGGACCGCAGAGGAGTCCTAGTACGGAAGAGGCAAAGTTTTTAAATTAAAGAGTTGCACCCCTGTTCTTAAACAACAGTATTCAAATTTTATTTCTCTATTTACAGATAGCCCCTTAGGCACAGAACCCAAGGAAGTTGGTATAGTAGATATCCACTGGGTAAAATCCAGGGGGAAAGAGAGGGGCGACAGTCACAACAGCGCCATTCTGTCGCACAACATATTCCTTCCCCGCTTCTCACAGACACCAAAGACGATCTGTCCCCTTGTTTGCACACGCAGCAGAGCCCCCGTTGGATGTTTCCCACATGTTTTCAGAACCATGGGCTGTCACAACACCAGTGTGTGTGTGGGGGCGGTCCTTATGACTGTGTTCGGATCTCTTGAAGTGGTGCTGCCCTCTACTGGCAGTAAAGCGTCAGTACATCCTGCTGGTTACCCCGGATGAAAGCGACGGGTGGATGGAGGTCCTTGGAGACGGTCTCCAGCCAGGCCATGTAGAGTGAGCTCGGGCAGGCCCCTTTCCCGACTACCGGAAGGCTCCTGGAAGAAAGGAGTAGGAGGAATAAGATGGGCAATAAAGCAGAAACGATCCCACCCTAGACTGAACACCCATTGGCTGCACCACCACCACCCCCGGTAGCCTCACATCCTGACTTTTAAATTTTATTTATTTATTTAAAATACTTAGTAGCTGCCCTTTCAGCCTTATGGGGCTCAAGGTGGCTTACACTATAGAGAAAATTCATAAAAGAGAATGCATCATAAACCAAAAAAAAATTAAAAATCACAGTTTAGGACCGCTAGTAAACTCATCAGATGTGGTCCTCAGTAAAACCGTCCTCTCCTGCCTCCTGAAGGTCAAGGGTGAAGGGACTGGGCTGTTCCATCATTGTGGGGCCGCTCCTGATAAGGCCCTCTCTCGTGTCCCCGCCAAAGGAACGTCTTTGATTGGTGGGGTGGTTAGGACAGCCTTCCCCTGTGATCTTCATTCCCAGGCAGGGGTGGCTTCCTCCATTTGTATGTGAAGCTGAGTTCAGAAGTCGTTGTGGGGTGAGGAGTCTTGCTGGGGCCAGCCAGGCAACCCAGACATGTCAACCTCTCAAAACAGACAAGGGCAACTTACATGACGATCAGGGCCGCGTTGCGTGAATGATCCTGAAGGATCTCGTGAAGGCGGATGTGCTGTTCGGTCTGGGAAAGGTGGATGGATGGGAGTTAATTACACTTTCAGTCTCTCCCTGCCATTCCCCCCCTCCGTGTGCACCTTGAAGCCAGCAGTTGTTCACCTCTGTACCTTGAAGCCAGCAGTTGTTCACCTCTGTCTCTGTTTTGCATTCCCCTCCCCTATGCACCCTCTCCCAGAAGGGGTGCCACACCCGTGACCCGGAGAATGTGCACGTGCCTTTAAAAACCCATGACTGATTTTAATTTTTTGTTAAAAACAACCCTTGCCCTTTCATAAAATCTGGTCTTCAAAGCGGCTGATAACGGAATTATTTAAATTACATTGTTTTCCAGTTCAAGTAATCGCATCCCTCAATTTAGCAATGCCACAGACTGATGAAATGAGGGAGGAAGCTGGGTCTAGGAGCTTCATGGAATGATTCAGGGGGGGAAGATCAGATGGGTGGAGTTCCTTCGGCTCAATCAAGGCACCCATGAGGGCCCTCGGTTTGCAAGACCTGAGCCAGGCTGTCAATGAGAGGACATTAACTCAGAGGACTGCCATGAGGCAGAAGGCCCTGGGCTGCCACTGACCCGCTATGTAAACGGCCAGGAAATCCTTGGGAGCTCCATCCACGGAAACCCCCCAGCATCATGTTACTTTGTACGTTAGAAACTTAAAATTCTGGGGAACAAACAGCTGATGTACAAACACAAAGCTGCCTTATCCTGAATCAGCCCCTTGGTCCAGCAAGATCAGTATTGTCAACTCAGACTGGCAGCAGCTCTCAGGCAGACGTCTTTCGCATAACCTCCTGCCAGATCCTTAAGTGGAGATGCCGGGGATCGAACCTGGGACCTTTACCACTAAGCCATGGCCCCTCTGTGCTAAACTGTGCCGAGGCAACAGCGTTTCACCTTTTTCTTGTAGATTCTGAGGTCTTCCTCGCTGACTTTCCAGGGCGCGTCCTTTCTCATCTCTTCCACGGCTGCTTGGCCTTTCTGGCCTTCGTTGAAGCGAAACGGGGCTATCAGATCCTCGAACTCTTTGAGACTGCCATGGAAGAAGAAGGAGGTTAACCATGAGCGGGAAAGAAGGAGTTGGGGGCCCAGAAGGGAGTCGGGGAGAAGGGATCTGACCTTATGATGGCCGGAATGGTCAAGGATGAGCATTCCAGCTTGTCATGGGTGTTTTTTATTTTTTTAAACTCTCTGAAATAACTTTACGGATGTCTTGGAACAAACAAGACAACCTTCTGACCTGTGTCACCTATGCAGTGCCAGCAGGAAAAAATTAGAGAGGGGAGATCATGGTCCAAATTTGGGAGCCCCTGTGGTTCTTCACCAGGGAAATAACTCTTCTCAAATGCCCCACCCTCTTATTTATTGACATTATTTATAATCGGCCTTTCTCACTTGGACTCAAGTGAGATTACCCAGGCGGAGTCAAGATAATCGTCAGATGGGGTGAGGGCTCTTTTTGTAGCAGGAACTCCTTTGCATATTAGGCCACACACCCCTAATGTAGCCAATCCTCCAAGAGCTTACAGAGCTCTTCTTACAGGGGCTACTGTCAGCTCTTGGAGGATTGGCTACATTAGGGTTGTGTCGCTTAATATGCAAAGGAGTTCCTGCTGCCGCCACTGGATTCGGGTTGCAGAACCAACTAGAAGTCTAAAAGCAGAACTGAGCAAAGCAGAAGTATTAACTTGACACATTAAACCAGGGGTGTCGAACTCATTTATTACGAGGGCTGGATCTGACATAAATGAGACCTTGTTGGCCGGGGCCATGTGTGTCATAAAATGTAATGCCAGGTAGCGGAGATATAAACTTTATAAAGGACACAAACACAAAGGGTTTTTTTATTCTTAAAAACATGCTTAAAACATTAGCACTCTTGCAATATTTTGTTTAGTTAGCAGCGTCTGATAACGGATACCTCTTGCTCTGAATTATTGCATCAAAATCTGTGCTGTTGCAATCTTTTTTAAAAATTTTAAATGAATTTTTATTGTGCTGTTGCAATGTTAAGTATGCTGTTCAGGTGTGTATCTGTAAGCTGCAAACCTACGATGACACAGCAACAGCAGAACTGGAAGAAGCAGCAGAAGACAGCCAGTTCCACTGCGGGCCTGATAGAAGCCCTCCGAAGGCCTGATCCCACCCCCCAGGCCACATGTTTGACACCCCTGCATTAAACTATGCAACATTACACAGTATGATCCAAGTTACAGCAAAGTATGCCCAGTAGTATGAAGGTAAAGGTTCCCTTGCTCGAAAGCCAGTCGAATCCGACTCTAGGGTTGCGGTGCTCATCTCCGTTTCAAAGCCTAAGAGCCAGCGCTGTCCGAAGACATTTCCATGGTCGTGGCCGCCATGACTAAACACCAAGGCACAGGGAACACTGTTACCTTCCCACCGAAGTGGTACCTATTTATCTACTTGCAATTTCTTGCTTTCGAACTGCTAGGTCAGCAGGAGCTGGAACTAGAGACGGGAGCTCACTCCGTCATGCGGCACACTCGGGTCTCAAACTGCTGAACTACCGACCTTCCACAGCCTGCAGTTCATCATCTTAACCACTTGAGCCACCGCAGCCCAGTAGTATACACAGTACCTAATCATTTTTCCAAGAAACTCCATGAATCATTTAGTACAGTTTAACTCTATGGCCTGAGTATAAAAGCCCTCTTGCATAATTCCGTTTTGCATAGTTGGGAACAAGAGGAAGGAAAGTCTCTCTGTCTCATTAGTAATAAAATATACTGCCTGGCTCATGGACTTTCCTGTGCTGGAGTTGTAATGGGGGTGGGGAGAGAGCAGCAAGTTATAAAGGATTGTGGGATTGGAATCTGGGATTGTGGGTAATCAAGGAACTGGAGTTGGGGGGGGGGACCCAGGTGTTCACCTCGTCTCCTCTGGCTTCCACTTTATTTCTGGCAGCACCACAACCTCGTGGAAGCCCAGGCGGAACCTGTTCAACAAAAACTGGATCCTGCGGAGGTTGGAGGGAAGAAAAAGAGAGAGAAAATGAGCCACAAGTTTTCCGCTGACAACCAATAGCCACGAAGGAGCTAGACAAGATTCTTAAGTGTAAAGATTTACACTTGATTCCTTTGAAATGTGGTGTTGGAGGAGAGTTTTACAGATACTGTGGCCTGCCCAAAAGACAAACACATGAGTTCTAGATCAAACCAAGCCTGAACCCTCCCTAGAAACTTAGCTGAGGCCATCATAGTTTGGTCATGTTATGAGAAGGCAAGAGTCACTGGAAATGACAATCATGGTAGGAAAAGTTGAAGAAAGCGGAGAAAGAGGAAGACCCATCAGGAGATGGGTTGACAAAATCAAGGAAGCCAGGGCCGTCAGTTTGCAAGACCTGAGCAGGTCTGTTAACTACCTGATGTTTTGGAGGTCATTAATTCATAAGGTCACCAGAAGTTACTTACTGGCACTTAACACCCACACACATACCAACTATACAGGGGAACAGGGAGGTGGCTGGCAGCTGATTTACAGAAGCAAAACGTCGTCGTTACCCTGAAAACACCTTTGAACCGGGCGAGTGGCAGATTTTTTCATTTTAGAAGCCAATGTTTTTGTACTTTGGCAATCAAAAGGAGCTGTTCCAGTTGGCAGCAGAGGAGAGGACCCGAATAAACGGGTTTAAATTACACACAGAGAGGTATCGGCTGGATATCAGGAAAACCTTTTTCACGGTCAGAGTGGTTCAAAGGTGGAATCAGCTGCCTAGGGAGGTGGTGAGCTCCCCTTCCCTAACCTTAACCCTAACCCTGAGAGCTTTCAAGAAGAGGCTGGACGAATATTTGTCAGAGGTGCTTTAGGCTGGTCCTGCATTGGGCAGGGGGTTGGACTAGATGGCCTTTATGGACCCTTCCAACTGTATGATTCTGTAGCTCTGGATCTGTAAATCTCTGCACATACATGTAAGTTTCAGAAAGTAACAGTTTTGATCTGCAGCACAGCAGCTAGATTCAAGGCCAGTAGCACCTTAAGAGACCAAAAATATTTTTTTGGGGTGTGTGTGCTTTAGTCCGATCCTGCATTGAGCAATGGGTGGGACTAGATGGCCTGTATGGCCTCTTCCAACTCTATGATTCTGTCTTCGGATTGAGGAAACCCCCCCCCCCCACCGGGTTCTCCTGGATACCATTTGGTAACTACTGGTCCACTCTATGGAGTCCTGGTGGGACTTTTATAACACCCAGGGCTATTTTTGGGCAGGAACGCACAGGAACGGAGTTTCGGCTGGCTCCCGGGTTGGCCGCGCCCAGCAAGAATTCATTAGCATAATAGGCCACACCCAACAGCAGAAACTCATTGGGATTGGCTACGTTAGGGGTGTGTGGCCTAACATGCAAAGAAGTTCCTGCTACAAAAAAAGCCCAGGGTTTTGACAACAAACAGAGCAAACAGAATAAGAAGCAAAAGGTGAGTGTGGTAACATGGGGGTGTGGCCTAATATGCTAATGAGCTGTGATGTCAGGGGTGTGGATTAATATGCCAATGAGTTTCTGCTGTTGGGTGCGGCCTATTATGCTACTGAGTTCCTGCTGGGCTTTTTCTACCAAAAAAGCCCTGATAACACCCAACACACACACACACACAGCCCCTTACTCTTCTCTTTGCTGTTCAGCATTGGCGATCTGCCCACTGATGAAGACCCGGACTTTGCAACGGCTCCAGCGTTTTCGGCGGGTGAGGAGGTAGGGGATGAGAAGCGTCAGCCCTGTGGGGGCGAGGAAAGGACATCGTAAGACAGGCCAGTGTTGGCCTGAACAGCACTCTGGGAATTTCCCTTCCTTGTAGATATGCTGACCAAGCAGTCTTGACACAGCCTGACGGCCGCCATTTTGAATGGTGACCAACGCCCAGCATAAGGTTGCCGGCCTCCAGGTGGGGTCTGGAGGTCTCCCGGAATCACAACTGATCTCCAGACGACAGAGATCAGTCTCCCTGGAGAAGATGGCTGCTACAGAGGGCAGATGGCATGGCACTGTACCCCATTCAGGTCCCTCCCCTCACACAAAACCCCACCCCTCCCCAGGCTCCAACCCCAAATCTCCAGGAACTTCCCATCCTGGTGCTGGTGACCAACACCCAGGTGTGTGCCGTAGAAATGCAAGGTGCAGAGTTCCCCCCCCCCCATCTGGGTCGTGGCCCTGCATCACATATAGGGATGCCAGCCTCCAGGTGGAGCCTGGGGATCCCCCCGGAATTACAGCTCATCTCCAGACTACAGAGATCAGATCCCCTGGGGAAAACAGATGCTCTGGAGGGTGGACTCTGTGGCCCCTGTCCTCCCCAAGTTCCATCCCCAAGTCTCCAGGTATTTTGTCTGCATCTGGCAACTCTACCACCCACAGGGGCCAGGAGGGACCCTGCAACCCTACATATGGCATTCCGGTTCACGACCACAAACACTGGGTGTATTTCATAGTAGTCTTGCCTCTACGGTGCTGCTGACACAATTTCACTCCGCAGAGAAGAAGATGGGGACCTGTGGCCTCCTCCCCACCCCTAGAGGGCGCCAACTCAGTGAGGAAGGAAAAGCACATACCGCCACAGAGCCAAATCACTTGTTCACATCTTGAATGCCAGTAGCTCACAAAGTAGAGTTTTTGCTCACAAGACTCCACAGCTTAGAGGGAGCATTGGTCTTGCCTCTACGTGCTGCTGACACAGTTTCACTCCGCAGAGAAGAAGATGGGGGTCCGTGGCCTCCTCCCCACCACTAGAGGGCGCCAACTCAGTGAGGAAGGAAAAGCACATACCGCCATCATCGAACAGCCAGTATATGTCGATGTTCTTCTTCTTCTGCTTGCCCTGGAACACGGTCTCCAGGAACTTGTCGGCACCGACTACCCTGAACGCCTCACCTGGGCAGGAGGAGAGCAAAGAAAGAGCGTTAGCCGTGACCCTGTGTAGTGGCCCACCCACCCGGATCTGCTAGTCCTCATTCCCTCTGCTTTTCCTGACTGAACTTGGGAAGCCGTGGCTCAAAGGCACACTCTGCTGTCAAAGAAAGACACTTAAAATAATTCCCAAAGCTGGCAAATTCCTTATCGTACGATCACGGGAGGTGACAAAGCAGAATCTCAGAGGGGTTACGTCTTCCAAGTCCATTTGTACTCCTAGCGATAAGCATGCACAACTAAACTTAAACGTGGAATGATCCAGGGAAACTGACTTCTTGGTTTCTTTTCTCCGTACCTGGTCACAGCTCAATCCAGACCAGTCTAATCCAGTCGCTCTTCCCTATCACAGAACATTCCAACTAGCTTATATTTCTTTCCTTGTTTAGGTTCCAACGCGTCTTCAGGCCAGCTCATTATACTTCCACACGGCCTGAATCAGGGCGCAGTCCGAACGCCATCCGGGGGAGCCCCGTGGGGGGGGGGAGGATTTTGCCCACCCCGGTTCCTGCCACCCATCCGATGATCCCTATCACAGAACACCGCAGGTGCTTCCGACTCACGTTTATTATCCAAGGCCAGGGTCTCTTCTGGATCCTCAAAGCCCTGGTTCACTATTGAGGAAGAGATCCAGAGAGGGCGAGTTAAAATAAATGAAACCAAAAATTCTGCACCCAGAGCCGCATTCTGCAACTGCAGCATGCAAACTGTCCAGCACTTGGGCCTCACTGTCCTCTTCTTCGTGCACCATTTATTCTGTATCTTTTAAAAATACTTTATTTTGCTTTTAATTCTCATAATACAAGTTTATACAAAACATCATACCAAAGGAAGGAATAACATTTAAACTAATTTATCAAGGCTAACCTACAATATGCCCAAATTGGATGGATTTCTAATATATCTATTGTCCGATCTTTATAATCCACTTGGAAACATTCACACAGACTTAATTCTATGTCCCAAAAATATATTATTATACAATTCATACATCTTTTGTTTTTCTTACCCCCCCCTTAACCCCAAATTAATTTTTCAATTGCTATTAATATTCTGTATTTTTATTTACCAATCTTGTGCTTTGCTTCCCTAAGCCCCAGTAGGCTTCCCAAGTCCCCCTGGGGAGCGGGGAAAACTCCGCCCCAGAGGCCCGTTTCCCGCCGCCAGTGGATTGGGCCCCTGGGGGAACCCCACCCCGACGTGCGCATCACCCAGACCTGACGCGACCACGCCGGGCATGCTGGGGGTGGGGCCACGGTCATCCGAGGGAAAACTCTATGGTTTTCCCTCGGATGGTCGTGGCCCCGCCCCAGCGTGCCCGGCGGCGTCATGTCACTTCTGGGTGATGTGTGTGCGGCGTGGGAGTCCCCCGGTATGGAGAAATTTCGACTTGGCAACCCTAAACCCCAGCCTCTGCCCTGTAGGCAAAAGAGGCTTCTCTACCAAGTCCTGCCCTCTGCTCCAGGAACAAAGTATTTGCATTCTTACAGGCAGGGCTATTTTGGGGCAGGAACGCACAGGAACAGCGTTCCGGCTGGCTTCAGAGCTGGCCACACCCACTACAGCCAGAACCTCAGTGGGGTATGATGCTGCAGAGCCCACCCTCCAAAGCAGCCATTTTCTCCAGGGGAACTGATCTCTGTCACCTGGAGAGCAGTGGTAATTCCAGGAGATCTCCAGCCGCCACCTGGAGGCTAAGTCAAGGACGAGAGATCAAGGGACAGACTGAGCTTTGTAAAGAAAAACAACCGCGATATAAGGAAACCTTCTTAGAGGAAAATATATCTTCTGTGATTATCCAGCTAATAACAAATCATAAAGGTGTTTTCTTTGAAGTAAATGGGTCTCAAGTTTTTCTTTTTGACGGTACCGCGCTTAGCGATGTAAGCTGGAAAGGAAGAGGGAGTAGGAAAAATACAAAAGGTGTAAGGTCTCATCGGATGAAACCTTGAGTGAAACGGTCCATTGAGAGCTGCAGGTCAGAAAGAAAAAACTTGAGACCCATTTACTTCAAAGAAAAAACACCTTTATGATTTGTTGTTCACTGGATAATTAAAGAAGATATATTTTTCTCTAACAAGGTTTTGTTATCATATCACGGTTGTTTTTCCTTACCAAGTTCAGTACTACCCGGAGGCTGGCACCCCTGTATTCTCCTGCAAACTGTTAATACTCTTGCTGCTGCATACCAGCCACAGCACTGCCCTGCCCATTTGTTTTGGGGCATGATTCCAAGTGCCCTTCTTACCTTTGAAGCCCTGCACGGCCTGGGGACGGGGTACTCGAAGGACCGCAACCAGAGACAGGGCTTTCTCGATAGTGGCACCTTTGCTTGTGGAACCTCTTTCCCCTTGAAGCTCGCCTGGCGCCCTACAGTGCTCTCTTTTAGGCACCGGGCCAAAACGTCGCTGTTCATTCAGGATTTTAATGAAGGGGTTGATCTTTTTAAATACCATTTTAGTCTGGGGATTGCTCTTTTTAGCTGTCGGTGCTGGATTTAATGAATACCGTTTACTCTTTTGATGTTACTAGTTTTTCTTTTGCAAGCCACCCCAGGTAGGTTCCTGGAGGGGCGGTGCAAGAACCGCCCTGGCCCTTTCCTGGAGGCAACCCACCATGGGCCTTCACCTTCCGTGACACATCCAGCCCGTCGCGCATCCGGAGCACGCACACGCCGGCGCTGATGTCGAAAGCGTCACTACATCGTGGGGAAAGGAAGGAGAGGAAGAAAGATTAATAGCCATCCTAAGGAATCAGGTGCTGGAGTTCCCCACATCCCAGAAGTGCTCTTGCCCTGCTTGGGAACCGACTTGACACAGAGCAAATCTCAACATGTCCACAGAATCCTTTTTTTTTTTTTTTGGCCCAGTTTACTCCTGTAACCCAGAAGCGGGGCAAGGAGGAGAATTTCCAGGCAACTGGCCAGATCAGCTAATGCTCTTATCCTACCGCATGGAGGGCAGGGAGAACGAGAGCCCCGCCTTCCTTCTCCTCTCAGCCATCACACCTCTCGCGTCCCAGCATCCCTTGTCTTTTGGTTTTCTCTTCTTAACCCAGGTCTTCCCCCAAAGAGCTGCGTGGCATGAATGGTTCTCCCTTCCCTCACGTTAGGCTTGCCAAGTCCCCCCGGGGGGTGGGGAAACCCCCACCTCAGAGGCCCGTTCCCTGCCGCCGGCGGATCGGGCCCCGGGGGAACCCCACCCCCAAAGCACGGGACGTGCCCGGCGTCAGCACGTCACCCAAAAGTGACGCAGTCACGCCGGGTGCGCCGGGGGTGGGGCCGCGGTTATCCAAGGGAAAACTCTATGTTTTTCCCTCGGATGACCGCAGCCCCGCCCTCGGCGCTTGACGCGGCCATGTCACTTCCGGGTGATGCACACGCGGGCGCTCCTGAAGCAAGCCAGGAGTCCCCCGCTGCGACTTAAGGTAGGACTTGGCAACCCTACCTCACGTCTCCATAGCAACTCAATGAGGCAAGGTTAGGCTGAGAGAGAGTGATAGGCCCAAGGTCACCCAGGGAGAGGGGTTGGCAATTCCGGGCTGGGAAATTCCTGGAGATTTTGGGGGCTGAGCCGAGGGGAGGGGAGGGGTGCCTCCAAGGGATATCATGCCACAAAACCCACCCTCTAAAGCAGTGGTTCTCAACCTGTGGGTCGCGACCCCTTTGGGGGTCGAACGACCCTTTGACGGGTCGCCTAAGACCATCAGAAAATTTGTAACAATGAAAATACATCCTGCATATCAGATATTTACATTACGATTCATAACCGTAGCAACATTACAGTTATGAAGTAGCAACGAAAATAAGCTTATGGTTGGGGGATCACCACAACATGAGGAACTGTATTAAAGGGTCGCAGCATTAGGAAGGTTGAGAAGCACTGCTCTAAAGCAACCATTTTCATCCAGGGGAACATCTCTGAGGTCTGGAAATCAGCTGCGATTGCGGGAGACCTCCAGGCCCCACGTGGAGGCGGGAACTTCATGGCAGAGAGTGGATCTGAACCCAGATCTCCAAGCTCTTACTCCAAGGCCCCTTCTGCACTCTCCTTTTGATCTATGTTCACTGCGGTGTCCACCAAGCAATTCTGCACTAAAAATCGAATTCAACCTCCTTTTTATTCCAGATTCTTCAGGCTCTACTGGTAGCAGGAGCTCCTTTGCATATTAGGCCACACACCCCTAGTGTAGCCAATCCTCCAAGAGCTTACAGAGCTCTTCTTACTGGGGCTACTGTAAGCTCTTGGAGGACTGGCTACACTAGGGGTGTGTGGCCTAATATGCAAAGGAGCTCCTGCTACAAAAAGAGCCCTCCCTTTAGTGGTCGGCCCGGTTTCAGCCCGCAGTTGCCCTGGGTTTTTTTGCTGTTTTGCCACAGGCTTAAATGGCCTCGATTTAGGGTTGCCAAGTCCTTTTTCTTCTGCGGCAGGGGGCTCCCAGACGGTGTCTTCATAGAGTTTTCCCCTCAAATGGCTGTGGCCCCGCCCCCAGCATGCCCGGCGTCATCATGTCACCTCCGGCTGATGTGCACGCCGGGGTGGGTTTTCTCCCGGGGCCTGATTCCACGGCGGCGGAAATTGGGCCTCCAAAGCGGGGGGAAATCCGCCCCCCGGGGGGACTTGGCAGCCCTACCTCGACTCGAACACTGAGGAGATCCGGAGTGGCAGGCAAATGCGGAAAGGACCCGGCACACTCACAGACCTCCCCCGCAGTACCCAGCTCACACTCATTCCCCCTTCAATCCCATCTCCTCGTACTAGATGTTCCACAAAGTTACTTGGATAAACGGATAGACAGTGGTCTGTACCACTGCGTTATAGGTTGCCGAAAGTAGGATCCTGCGATGTCATTTTTTGCCCTGCCTCGTGTGTCTTTTGAATACTAATGCTTTGCGTCCGTTCTGTTTTTGGACTTCCAGCTGGTTCAGCAACCCTAATGCCTGTTGCGTTGCTCGCTGAATGTCGTCCCATCCTGTCAAAAGGGCTGCAATCCGCAAGCAATGTTCCCTCTAAGTTGTGGAGTCTTGTGAGCAAAAATTCTACTTTGTGAGCTGCTGGCATTAAAGTTGTGAGCGAGCGATTGGGCTCCTGCATAAATTAGTTGGCTCTGGAGCCATCCTTCCTGAGCTAAGAAAAAAAGGTGTGAGCCGGAGGCTAAAAAACTGTGAGCTAGCTCACACTAACTCAGCTTAGAGGGAACACGCAAGTGAGAAAGGCGGGCGGACTGCAAATAGTGCCGATAGATCAATCAGTCTTTGCCCAGCGCAGAGCCCTTACTGTATTATGCCCACGTAACTCTCCAGGTTGTGGGGACTGTCCACCTGCCAGTTCTGCTTGTAGCCCAGGACGACGGTGTTGGGCTTGAGACGGCCCAGGCCTGAGACCTGCAGGGAGGAAGCTGCTGTTAGCTCAGAGCCCAAGGAAGGAAAGGTTCGGTCAGTGGGGTCATATCAGTTCTGGAGAGATCACCCTGAACAGGCCGCACTGGGAAGGGGGAGAAGCTGTCAGTGTACTCGTAATGCAGGGCCAGCGTGAGCATACCCTCATGGGGGGGGGGCAGCTGCTGCCGAGGCCCAGGTCTTCCGGCAGGGCCCGCTACTGCCCAACTTTCCCCGGCTTGCTCAGTCGTCGGCGCTCCGCCACTCACGCTCCCAGCTGCAGGCCCTTCCCAGTGCCCTCAGGGAAAGGGCTGCGGGCAGCACAGGAGGCTCTGAGCGTGACCAGCAGGGGGGCTTCTAAGCAGGACAGGGGAAGGTTGCCCAGGCAGGTAGTGAGACGCGTGGGTGGCTGGGTAAACGGGGAGGAAACTCTTCAACCCCCCCCCCCAATCTGGAACCAGCCCTGCCGTAGCACCCTCGTTCTGCACAGAAGAATGTTTCATTTGCAACGCCCAAGTCGAAAGGATGAGAGACTGCCTCTGAGGACGTGCAGAGAGCCCTGTCCTCGCCACGAAGCCTACGGAGCCACTACTGGTCAGAGAAGACAACAGTGACTGAGCTAGATGGATTAATGGCCTTTAGTATAAATCAGCTTGAGGAGCTGCGGTGGCTCAAGTGGTTAAGACGCTGAACTGCAGGCTGTGGAAGGTCAGTAGTTCAGCAGTTTGAGACCCGAGTGTGCCGCATGACGGAGTGAGCTCCCGTCTCTAGTGCCAGCTCCTGCCAACCTAGCAGTTCGAAAGCAAGAAATTGCAAGTAGATAAATAGGGACCACTTCGGTGGGAAGGTAACAGTGTTCCGTGCACCTTGGTGTTTAGTCATGCCGGCCACATGACCACGGAAACGTCTTCGGACAGCGCTGGCTCTTCGGCTTTGAAACGGAGATGAGCACCGCAACCCTAGAGTCGGACTCGACTGGCTTTCGAGCAAGGGAACCTTTACCTATAAATCAGCTTGTAGGTTCACACGACCCCTGTAAATCAGGTTGCCAGCTCTGGGTTGGGAACTACCTGGAGATTTGGGGGGTGGAGCCTGAGGAAGGGAGGGACTTCAGTGGGGTCTAATGCCACAGAGTCCACCCTCCAACGTGTCCATTTTCTGCAGGAGATCTGATCTCTGTCGCCTGGAGACCAGTTGTAATAGCGGGAGATCTCCAGCTACCACCTGGAAATTGGCAGCCCTACCCAGAAACCAGTTTACTGGGGGGGGGGGTCCCAAGAACCAAAAATCAGCTGCAAAGACAACATATTTTGTCTTCAATTTCTGCACTGAAAACTCCGAAGGTCTCGATTGAGACTCTACCTGCTTCTTGTGGCTAATTTCTGTCTCCCTTGGGCCATTGTTTTGCTGCTCATTTCACCCAGTGGCTGATCTTACACCATTATAAGCTTCAGCCACCAGTAAACCCCTTGCCCAGGGCCAGGATGGACAGAAAGGTAAGGATGCCGAAGTTTCGTACGAAAAGGATCAGTCACCTGCATGAGGTTCCTGGCCCCCGCTCTCAGATCGGACGTCGTGATGCAGGAGTAGAACGAGCGGACCTTCCGCGAGCTCATCCACTGGACCTGGTCGTCGTGATCGTTGGTGGACGACGCGCCTTGCTCCTGCGGGCGGTAAAGAGTGGGGGCGTGAAGATGGCGGCACCCCGGTCCCTCAGGTCCCTCCTTTTCTGCTTTTCCTCGAACCCCTGTGGGGAGTCGTCAAGTATGCTCACCTCAAGGACGTTTCCACAAATCATGAGGCTCACACCCTTAGTGAAGGCGCCAGCAAAGTCCACCAGGGCTGGCCGAAAGTTGGGTGGGCCTGAGAGGACCATACATTGTGGCCTGTGAAGGGAAAAGTCTGTTACTTGAGGGCTGGTCAGAGGTCATTTCGGGGGGGATCGCGGGGGATCGCAGTCCCCCTGGGTGAGGTACGGGGGCCCCTGCTTCTGGCCGCCCCGCTTCCAGCCCTCATTTAGCCAGGAGGAGGCAGGAGAAGAGGGAGGGTAAGTTGCTTCCTCCCTGCCTCTCCCCACCCCTGCCTGCCTGGGGCCAGGGAGGGCCTTCGCGGGGCTTCCTTGCACTCCCGCCGGCATTGCAGGTCCACCGCCGGGCCCCTCATGGGGCTCGGCAGTGGAGCTGCAAGGCCGGCGGTGGTGGCCGGGACCGTTGGGGGTGGGGTGTGTGGCCTTATGACACACTTCCGGTGATGTCAGGGGGTGTGGCATATGCTAATGAGTTATGCTAATGAGTTCCCCTAGCTCTTTTTCTATGAAACAACCCCCGGGGCTGGTTCAAATTTTTGTGTGGGGTTGGGGGGGGGGGAGAACACAGCCTTGTGCCCTGAATCTTCTCCTACAGCTGCCCTTTTCAGAAACCTCATCAAGGACCTTTGGTAGTCTCTGGAAAACCTGTTCTGGGCCGCAGCTTTACTGAGGAGAGGGTTAATTTCATTTCCCCCCCATCCTTTCCCTCCTCACTGAAAAACCCAGGGCAGCAGGGGAGTCCGTCTCAGCTACATGAACACACAGGAAAGCTGCCTCTGAATGACTCAGGCCCTTGGTCCATCCTTTGGTCAGCATTGTCTACTCTGACTGGGAGGAGGTCTCCAGCATCTCAGGTAGAGAGGTCTCCCATATCACCTACTTGCCTGGCCCTTTTTAAGTGGAGATGCTGAGGACTGAACCTGAGACCTTCTGCATGACAAGCAGAGGCTCCTCCACTGAGCCATAGCCCTTAAAAAGTCCTGTGAACTCATGAAGCCACCTTCTACAAAACAAGACCCTCAGTCTATCCAAGGTCAGCCTTGTCCGCTCAGACTGTTAGCCACTCTGCAAGTTCTCAGGTCTTTCATATCACCTCCTACCCGCTCCTTTTAAGTGGAGATGCTGAGGGTTGAACCTGGGACCTTCTGCACACAGAACAGATGCTCTACCATTGAGCACAGTCTCAGCTTAAGGTCCATTCTGCATCTGGCATTCGCTCCACATTTTATCAGCACTCGACCTGGTTTCCCCTTGCCTTGGAAGATCTGTTTTCATTGCATTGCCTCGGATCTTGAGTTCTGCACTGGCTACTGTCAGCTTGCCCTCTATTTTGTTTTCAGTGCTTGTTCCTGCATTGGTAAGCAGGCTTTCCTGTGTCAGTACTTGCCTCAGAGGTCATTAGCTGCCTGAGCCGAGTAATTAATGGCAAGGTGATATATACAGAGGGGGAAAACAGGAGCGGGGAACGGACAGAGGTTAATGAAGCCATGTCAAGTTGTCTGTTTATTGTTCCCTTCGAATTGGAAGAAGAGGAAGGAAAAGGTGCCAATCATAACCACATTCAGAGACCCCAAGGGCCAGGGCTATTTTTGGGCAGGAACGCACTGGAACGGAGTTCCGGCTGGCTTCCAAGTTGGCCACACCCAGCAAGAATGCATTAGCATAACAGGCCACACCCAACAGCAGAAACTCATTAGGATTGGCTACATTAGGGGTGTGTGGCCTAACATGCAAAGGAGTTCCTGCTACAAAAAAGCCCTGGGTTTGGACCACAAACAAGGTAAACAGAATAAGAAGCAAAAGGTGGGTGTGGCTGGATGACCACCCCTCTTTTAACATGGGGGTGTGGCCTAATATGCCAATGAGCTGTGCCGTCAGGGGTGTGGCCTAATATGCTAATGGGTTTCTGCTGTTGGGTGCGGCCTGTTATGCTAATGAGTTCCTGCTGGGCTTTTTCTACCGAAAAAGCACTGCCCAAGGCAACGCTGTACTGACTATGAAGTCACCCTGAATGGCCATAAATCTATGAAGAAGGTACCATAAAAGCTGATAAACAAAGAAAGAAAGTGAAAGCGGCATGCAGTGTAGAGGGAGATTAACCTCCTGACGTGGCTGTGGGAAAACGGTGAGGAAACAGATGGCTGCAGAAGCAACCTAAATGCCACTCTGTTGACTCAAATCCTCCTCCCATCTTTCTCTTTGGAAGTTCCCAGGGTGTGGCCGTGTCCCTCCAGGATGAAGCGCCACCACCCGGCCCCATTCCCATTCTGAAGTGATCCGGTTACCAAGGCTGCACCGATGACTCCTCCACTTGCCCTGATTCATCCCAGAGCCACCCACTCCGGTGGCTTGCCTCAGGCGAACTCGGGGCCTGGGGAAACCACCTCAGCTGTGTGGGCAAGCAGGGAGGCTCCTAGATCGGCCCGTCTCCTGAGGCCTCCGGCACCTCCTCTTCCCTGTCACCAGCGCCCAGACGATGCAGCATCAGCTGGGTTTTGCTACACTCAGTTATTGTTCTTGTGAGGGGAAAGCTCTCTCAGCTCCACTCGGAAGAG